AAGAACAGGGTATATAAATAGGGAAGTAATTGGTATCTCAGATAAAGTGATTGTTTGGCCGCCTCTGTAACCTCCGGGTGCCCCCTATCAGCCCAAGCAGCCGGGTCCTGTTCAATATCATTTCCCCAATAGTGATGGTTTCTACTGAATGGTGTAAAGGCTCCCAATTGTGACCAACGACGGCATAGTTCTGGTGTTGAATCTTCAAAAAAGCCACAAATATCTGATCCAATCTATGAATAAACCGATTATAAGACACTTTTTATCTTAAAAACTAGTGGACATACATATGGAATGCCAAACAAATTGAATTCTAACATTCCTATAACCGATTCCCTCATTTGAAGCCAAGTGGCCTTGTTATCCCCCAACCAATGACCCGCGTATTGACCCGACGAGACATATGTGGACCTTGATAATACAAAACCTCTTTTCTTTGTTATGGAATTTAGGGCTCTATTCAAAATAAATCAATGTTTTAAGTAAAGGTTTTATCTAAAGTGTTTATTTAATTGTACTTTTGTGTGGCCATAGCCATGGTTAGTCCATAAAGAGAGTGGACGTCATAGTGTTTGAATTGACCCGATTCTCCCTGAACTCCAATCATACAAAGGGTTGATCTGCTCAACCGATCAGAGCCATGCACCCATTGAGCCTCTATTTAAGACACATTTAATTCATATTAATATTAAATGCAAACCATTTCAAAACAATAATTACTTATTTCGATGGGAATGTTATCGTATTGATTGTGTGGACACTGGATATTATATCCCTCCCCACTATCGAAAGTGATTGGCTCATTCATATCCTATTAGTAATATTAATTTTACTCTTAATTTTAATCATAAATAATGGACTAACTTCATTTAACTAGCTTACAATCCAAAGTGAATTGAATTTCCATCCAATAGAGTGCAAATGGTTGAGGCTGTCTATCCACCAGTTATGGGTAACATTCTTGAAGTAGTCCGGAAAGGCTACCACGGGTGGCCACACGCGACCGTACATATTATCGTGAGTGGTGTCTACGCCGTCCGGATTGTGTCTGTCTTGGACGGGAATACTTTTTGGCCATTTTATGAACACATTTTTGTCATTGCCTTCACTAAAGATCGTATAATTTGCTTCATTTCCCTGAATATGCGGGTTTATGATTGGAGTCCAATGCAGATTGTATTTGGTTTGAGTGTCGCTAATAAGTTGTGGTAAATCTTTGTAAAGAACAGGATCAATTGTAAAATCCCGGCTCTGAACCTCTTGGTAATCGTTATCAACGTATTGGACATCCTTTTAATATAAGTATATTTTTATAACATTTAAATCACAATCGATTGGTTGACATACATATGGGACCTCGTGTTTGATTTGTCGCTCGACACAGGCTCTCACTTGAGATGTGTTATGATAACGTGAATTGGATATTTGAAAGCCAAACGCCCAAAACGATGGCATAAATGTGCGACCGATTAGTGATGTGTATAACTGTATGACATGTTCGGGATTATCGCCGACAAACACAAATTTTTAAATCACAATCGATTGGTTGACATACATATGGGACCTCGTGTTTGATTTGTCTCTCGACAACGGCTTTAACCATATTTGTGTTATGATAACCATATTTGGAGATTTGAAAGCCAAACGCCCAAAACGATGGCATAAATGTGCGACCGATTAGTGATGTGTATAACTGTATGACATGTTCGGGATTATCGCCGACAAACACAAAGAAGTCCAGAATTCCTCCGATTGTCTTAACAGATACTCAAACGCCCAAAACGATGGCATAAATGTGCGACCGATTAGTGATGTGTATAACTGTATGACATGTTCGGGATTATCGCCGACAAACACAAAGAAGTCCAGAATTCCTCCGATTGTCTTAACAGATACGGCGGGCGCCGGCATAAGTGTATACTCTGTCACACAATTCATTAGTTAATATGAGATTATTTATGAAACAATATGTTTTCAATGTAATACCCATAGCATTGCTGTTAAGTAACAGAATTCCGTGTGAATTGCCATTACTTTCGAGTACTGTATAGAAGGGGTGCTGACCGTAGTTGTTCTTCTCCTCAAGCTTTACAGACAAATATAATATAATTATTTTTAAAAATAATATTATTTTATTAATATATAAAATAATTATTCATTATTTTTACTTATGAACATATTTTTTAAATTTTAAGGATTCAAATTTTATTATCTCATTTTATTAGGCTTACACTATTGGGAGCGTTGTCCTTTGTAAATAGGGGCCAAGTCTTATAATTAAGATTATGTCTGAGAGACGGGTGTGTATTCTCACCCAATCCGTAGACATTATTTGAGGGCAAATAACTCGCTATTTGTATGAACTGATCACTAAATACCAGTCCACCAATAGATGTGTCCAAACTATTTTAGAAGATAAATACAATATTATAATAATTATATAAATCTTTTCAATTATGATTATTACTAACATTTTAGTGGAAGTACTTTTCCTTTCGATGTCAAACCCAAAGTCTGTTTTATTTAAATTAAATTTATATTTTCTCAGATTTTCATCGATTTTGTGAAGGGGTTGTTGAAGGAGTGGAAAGTTAGACTGAATGGGGACTTCATATCTCTTGTTGTTGGCGTCAAATATCTTAACCCGGAGTATGTTTTCTGTCAAATACGTGACTTCAGTCTTCAGAGCATCCAATTGTGTGACAAGTTTTGTATCTTTTGCCGAGTCTTTCAATTTGAGAGTCGCTTCCAAACCAAAGTCAGTGTCTTTTGTTGAGTCTATTCTATAGCCGAGTTTTGCTGCATTGAAATAACAGTAAGGAATCTCTGGCTTATCCTTCACGGGATCGTAAATACATCCTCTTTCTAAACATTGACTTTCACTCAACTTTTTGTCTGTAATTATCATATAATGAAATAATTAATTTAATTTTTCATTAATTGTAATTTTCATAAACAATATTATTTATATAATTTGATATACAAGTAATATTATACAGTATCATAGTACTCACTCGAAATAACACAATCTAATCGATTATTATTTTCATTGACTGAATGACATATTAAAAAGAGTGAAAAAGTTGAGAATAAATATAATAAAAACATTTTTATGATAATTAAACACTCAGTACTCGCGATTGTGCAAAAAAGTAAAAGCTTAACTTACTTTTATACTTCACCTACTATTTTTTATCTGTAGTTGAAAACAAATTTCAAACTAAATAGCAAGTACATACAGTACAAGTATATCCTTTATAAATGATATTACCTTTATCTCAACATAACTAACCTAATCTCATATAACCTAACCTGACCTATCATAATCATTTTCAATAATTAATAATAGATATATACATAACAATTATTTCTTTAAATGTTATTTATGGTTCTTGTCTTATTACACAAAATTATAAAGTTTACCCAATTGTCAGAATATTCTGTATAAAGAAAATAATGAAATTAGTTTGTGTGTCACCCTCATGAGGGCGGCATTTGTTCATACTTTGGTTTAAAAGTCATTACAGAATTTATTGAATAAAACAATAGCTTGTTTAAAAATTATGTTGTTTAGAAATGTTTGAAATAAAAACCAATCTTTGATATATTTAATGACACAATATCAATTCCTATAAAAAGCATACCTAAAATTATAATGATAACCTTTTAATTACTTATCTATACAGCTTACATCTTCAAATATAAGCTCGCTAAAATATCCAACTAATTATTAAGTTATAAGTTATAACAGTCAAAGGCTTAAATAAAAGTTATAATAAAATTATATTATATTATGAATTCATGTATTTAGAAATCTGGTACTAAAGATGAAATACAATTAATCCGTTTGGGTCTCAACATTACACCGGAGGATACATTATCAAATGCTCCCAAACTATTTGCCAGTCAAAGGGTGCTTAAAGAGCAAATAGTAACCAACAAAACCCATGTTTTCATAGCATCTCAATCTCACGTCAAAATGATTGAAACGGCAATCATGGAGATCAATAACAAAGTCACACATATTTCAAACAACAAATATTTGGATTATTTCGTTGGCTTTGTTTATAGTAAGAAATTGGATCCATTTGTAGCCAAACATTATAATGATATGTAAGAAATCAATTTATATAAGATTTTGATCAGCAAATTCAATTATTCATTTTGATCAGATTTATTACTAAATTAATGTAATCAATTTGATATGACCCAGAGTGTACAGTGCATTGGAGACTGGGATATATGGGAGGTGGGCCTATGATATAGTTCAGATGGCCTCACAAATCTTCAAAGACGGTGAAGAAGTCATTACTACTCAAAGCAAAGGTTTTAAATTTGTGGTCAAAATTAAGACAGCTTTGGGACCCTTTGCAGTCGGAGTTGTCTTATCAATAATTGAAGTTTTAATTGAGATTTTGCTTAATAGATGATGTCTTATTTGATTAATTCATCTTTAATAAAATACTGGATTTCATGTTCGTTTGATATTATATTAAATTTTATTCACATCTATTTTAATTTTTCAATTAATGTTTTCTGTAATAAACAAATAATAAAACAATTATTTCAAATTACATGTGTTGTCAACAGTTTTCCACTCAATCTTCCATATCTGACCCTCTTTTGCAGCATTCAAATCGATATTCACTGGAAATATAATGTAATCCTCTTTTACCACAACATTTTCAATTGCTTTTCCATCGAGTAATGCATTAATTTTGGCGTTGAGTGTGTTGGCTATTAATACTTTTTCAATCAAATGAGATTTACTTGAATTATAGCCTTTAGTTTTGACTCTTAATTGTAGTGAACAGTTGGCAAACAATTCAAATTCATAGAAATTATATTGTTTTGTCTCAATAGTGTTGAGAGAGTCTCCGTCGTCCCAAAACAGATCTCCCGTCGCCTTTTTGTCTTTGGGATAGACCTCCAGATTAATTGGTTTGTAATTGGATGCTCTGAAGACGGAGGTCACGTATTTAACAGAAAACATACTCCGGGTTAAGATATTTGACGCCAACAACAAGAGATATGAAGTCCCCATTCAGTCTAACTTTCCACTCCTTCAACAACCTCTCCATAAAATCGATGAAAACCTGAGAAAATATAAATTTAATTTAAATAAAACAGACTTTGGGTTCACTATTGAAAGAAAAAGTTCAGCGACAAAAATGTTAGTAATAATCATAATTGAAAAGATTTATATAATATTGTATTTATCTTCTAAAATAGTTTGGACACATCTATTGGTGGACTGGTATTTAGTGATCAGTTCATACAAATAGCGAGTTATTTGCCCTCAAATAATGTCTACGGATTGGGTGAGAATACTCATCCGTCTCTCAGACATAATCTTAATTACAAGACTTGGCCCATATTTACAAAAGACAACCCACCGGATAGTGTATGTCCCTCTCATTTGTTGTTTTTTATCTCATTTTACTGTAATTAATCTATTTTAGATATATTTAAGAATTTATATTAAGATATTGTTGAATTGAATGTGCAGGGTGACCAAAAGAACAACTACGGTCAGCACCCATTCTATACAGTACTTGAATCTAATGGCAATTCACACGGAATTCTGTTACTTAACAGCAATGCTATGGGTATTACAGCCAAAATAATTATCATTTAATGGATCTTAAAATATTTCTTATGATAGAATACACACTTATGCCGGCACCGGCAGTATCTGTTAAGACAATCGGAGGAATTCTGGACTTCTTTGTGTTTGTCGGCGATAATCCCGAACATGTCATACAGTTATACACATCACTAATCGGTCGCACATTTATGCCATCGTTTTGGGCGTTTGNCCCGAACATGTCATACAGTTATACACATCACTAATCGGTCGCACATTTATGCCATCGTTTTGGGCGTTTGGCTTTCAAATCTCCAAATATGGTTATCATAACACAAATATGGTTAAAGCCGTTGTCGAGAGACAAATCAAACACGAGGTCCCATATGTATGTCAACCAATCGATTGTGATTTAAAAGCTATTAAAATCTTATAAAATTTAAATTACTGTTTTATATTAAAAGGACGTACAATATATTGATAGCGATTATAAATTCTGGTCAAGAGATTTCACGATAGATCCCAATAACTTCAAAGATTTACCACAACTTATAAACGATACTCAAACTAAATACAATCTGAAGTGGACTCCAATCATAGACCCGGGTGTTCAGGGAAATGAAGCCAACTACTCTATATTTAGTGACGGCAACAACAAAAATGTGTTCATAAAATGGCCAAAAAGTGTTCCCATCCAAGACAGACACAATCCGGACGGCATAGACACCACTCACGATAATATGTACGGTCGCGTGTGGCCACCCGGACCGGTAGCCTTTCCGGACTACTTCAAGAATGTCACTCAAGACTGGTATAAAGACTGCTATAAACACTTGTATGATATCGGATGGAAATTTAACGGCCTTTGGATTGTAAGCCATTCGTGCAGATTTCATATTTTTAATGATAATTTTTATTACAATATAAAGAACCTAGTATATTTACCTATTAGGACATGAATGAGCCAGTCAGTGTAGAGTTCGGTTCGGGGTTTAATATTACATGCCCACACAATCAATACGATAACATTCCCATTGAAATAAGTTAGTAATTATTTAAATTATTGTTTAAATTAATTTAAATGTGTTATCAATGTAGAGGCTTATTGGGTGCATAACATGGATAGATTGAGCAGGGGCTCACTTTGTATGATTGGGGTTCAGGGTAATTCGGGTGAATACAAGCACTATGACGTCCACTCCCTTTATGGGCTAACTATGGCTATCACTACCAGAAAGTAAAATGACAATACTAATTGTGATTTCAATAAATATTAATATATTATTTATAGAGCACTAAATGAGATAACAAACAAAAGGGGGTTTGTATTATCCCGGTCCACTTTTGTCTCATCGGGACAATACACGGGTCACTGGTTGGGAGATAATCACAGCAAATGGTCTCATATTAAGGATTCCGTGATAGGAATGATGGAATTTAATTTGTTTGGCATTCCCTA